AGCGATCACTGGAACAAGAGGTTTATTGTCCTGGCGTTTCGGATTCCCTCGGAAATCTTTAATCATAGGTAATAGTAGAACAGTCTGAGACATGCGCAGATAAGGGTATGCTTTTAAAAGGCAGAATTTCATCACCGATAATGGGACAGGTAGGGGCTGTAACATGATCATGAATTGAGCCAAATGTTTGCATCCCAGTTACGTGTAAAGATAGATAAGAAGAACTGTCGGTCACCCGAAAACATAATTTTACTCTTCTGAGCTTTGGAAATCTTGTGGAAGTCAATCGACAGAGATAAAAGCGTCAATGAAAAACAAAGAACAGAGCAGGGGCCAATCAACCGTTATAGGGCGGGGGGATAGAAATGGGGCAATTAAGCACCACTGCTATCAGTCCGGGGAAGCCTGCGCAGGACGATGTATGCATGCACCAGCTCGATGTATCGGTTAACTGAGTTGTCATCCGAGGTCCGGTCTTCAATCAGTTCTCGGCCTGTCTTGCTGCCGGCGTGAACCATTACCCTCGCAGCTGCAAAGATGAACTCGTGACACGCTGTGGGAAGCTACTTGCGATTATTCGACGTAACACCATCGTATAGCCTGTATCGTCCCGTGCATTGCGAATCAAGGACAGATTAAATCCTAGTGACCAGCTGGGCGTAACATATCGCATACCATGTCTACATTGTCCCCGAACTTACACAGGACAGACCGGACGCATATTTGGTTCGCGCATACAGGAATATAAATTATGATTCCGGTGACCGATACTCCTATATCGACGAGAACACCACTGCCATGTTGGGTTCTATCGCAGCTTTATCCGTAGAATGTTGATCTTTTACTGCGGAAATTGATTTGCATAAAGGACAGATATATTGATAGGCCTAACTTGTTCAACTAAGGGTGGGAGACTACTAATTTCATTATTCAGAAGCTCCTGCCAGAACCGATCATGTGTAATGATACCGGTCACTGTGCTTTCCGTTAGGGAGGCCATAAACGACCTTACAGGGACACCTTAGATAATTTGCTCCCATATTCCCGGGATAAATAAAAAAAGACGAGGATTCTGAGCAGAACCGGTTGGCGTAGTGACGTATCTGCGGCGGAACTTCAAAAACTGAGCAGACACTGGAAGTCGTGGCCAATCGGTAGGCAAATATAACTGATGAACACTCACTGGTCACTAACAGAATTCACTCGTCCCGCTCGGCCTTGGAGTTCATTCTCGAGCCCTGCCAGAAACCACACAGCGGCTATTAGTAGTGTAGGTAGAGGAACCGTGTCATTAAAGGCACGGGAGACTGGAATGACCATTTCTGGTACACAAGCCGTCAGTGCACAACCCCACTTCTGGGACAGTTGGAGTCGGCTGTAATGCTGCATTTTCTCAGAGTCATTTCTATTCACTCTCATTTATGGGTTGCGAATACCATTCACGGACGCCTGTGAGCCCCCCAGGGTTGCTACTTTTTAGGACTGCCGAGTCATAACTCGGACCGTCTTGAGGACACGAGCACAAAGGCCGGGGTCTGT